AAAATATATAAAATGATCGGTGAAAATGCCATGACATGTGGACGGGATGCACAAACAAGGATCCGAGGATTCGGCCAAGAAAGAGTAGCGCACACGGGCCAAGGAAAAACAGCTGGCTGGCCGGAAAACTCTCTGTGGAAAACGGTGGAAAGCCAGCCAATGCATGGGCACCTAACCAAAACACAATTTTGTGGGAGTGTCGCAAAGGCAAAAATAAAAAAAAACACACACACAAAAAATAAAGAAAACCAAAAGGAAAACCGAAACACACTCATTCCCCGCTTTTCCACCACACGAAAGAAGTGAAGGAAAATAAAAAACACCCCCAAAAGGCAGAACAGAAAAAAAATCACTCAAACAAGCGTTTTCCAATGGAAAGTGGTGAACCGGCTGTGGTGTAATTTTTTCCGAGGGTTGAAAGGGGGGTGGGGAAAACCGCTGCCGACGTCGCTGCCAGCTGCGCTGCCTGCGCCACAACCAAAACAACAAACCACAATTCACTTACACAACGCCACAGTCGCAGTCGCTCCGCTGCCGCCGCGCAGCCCACTTTTCCGCTTTTCCACAGCCATTTTTTTGTAAATAAAAAACATTCGCCAATTTGGCGGGGCGAATTTTTGAATACGCTTTTTATTAACCTATTTTCTTTTGGAATGTTTTGAATTTATTTATTTTCTAAAAAAAAGGAATATATTTTGTATTTTTAAAATTAATTAAAACTGTTTACATCTTTTTTTGATATAGTTTTTAATTTATTTATTTTCTCAACTTTAAGGAACATATTTAGTGAATTTAAATTTTACGCAATTATTGTCCGTATTTTTAAATAATAATACAAAATATATTTTATAATGTTAAATTATAATTTATATGTTTATTGGTTTAGAAATTTTGTATGCCTAAATATTTCCAAAAATCATTATTCGTTTCTTTTTGTTATTATATATTTTTAAATTGTTTTGAAATGCATAAAGAAAGTTTTTACTTTAAATATTTTACACTTCTTGTTGAATTCTGTGAGTTGAATTAACCTTAAGTTGAAGAGTATAGAAATGTTTCTCGATTGGCAGTCGCCTACTTTTGTTTTTTTCTTCGTTGGCTTTGGCTGTGAGAATTTCCCCTGCGCCACTGGAATTTCCATGGTGCCTGCGTTTTCCACTCCCTGCTTGTGTTTATTTTATCTTATTTTCAAAGGACTTCTTGGGTTCTGGGATCCTTTGGAGTTTAGTATTGCCTAGTTAACGGCTGAGCGCAGAGCTCCATGAAAAGAGGCGGAGCATCGATCGCTTATGGCTGTCTCTTTTCTTCCAACACCCCTCTCTCTCTCGCTCGATCGCTTACCGCTCGCTCTATTAATAAATCATCCCCTTTTGGATGCCTGGTATTTTTTTTCGAACCATCTGCTCGCCAACGGTTGGCTGATCTCTGCGGTTACCCCAACCCCTCGATCGTAGCTCCCTCTCGCTTTTGTCTTTTGTTCATCTCTTTCTTCTAAAAGGGAGGGATCTTGAGTATATGAAATATATACAATGCAAATGATCGGCCTGATAATTGGGGGTTGATGGTAATACACGTTTTGAAACGCAGAACTCAGAGATCTTTCGGCGATCGTAGTTTCGATAGGAAGTCATTTCGTCGGAATTTGCATAAGTTAGGTTGTTCTGTCCAGTTTCCAGAGAGATGGTATTTGGCTATCTTAACTTTGAGGTAATTGTAGAAATGTGGTTTCTAACAACTTTATTTTTGGTATTTTTATGATCTTAAGTTTTGGTATTATAATATTTTGGTTTATTTATTTATTGCCTTTAGAAATATATGTATATATAGCCCATGTATGTATATATAGCCCACTAAAAAGTGAAATCCAGCGAGTTTTTGTGGAACAGGTAAGGAATATATCAGATCTTTTTTTTTTGGTACCATATCATACTTTATGACCCGTGGCGGCGGCTAATCGGCCAAAATATTTGCGGGGCGTGCTGGTTAATCCGGGCGATTGACTTTCATAAGCAAAGGATTAGGATTGCGCGGTTGCACTACCTGTTATTTAAAATATTTTGTGAAACTCAGGTATAGGCTTCATATAGGTTTTCCTATATTTTTTTTTGGGGGGGGCCGCGCAAAAAATCCATCGAGGGCCCATAAAAAAGGGTTGATCCTTGGCTCCTGTGGGCCGCATATATATAGGCACTATATATAGCACTACCTGGTTTATTTTCGGTTATCCTGCGGATCCTGCGATCCTGCGATGCGCGTGCTGCGGCGGCTTCTGTCGCAAATTGCCAAGGAAACGCAGCAGGATCCAAGGAGCGCTGATTTCCCGGGAATCCATCGACGTCCGCCAAACCTGCCATGCCAGGTCGTATATATCCCGGGGCCTCTCATATATATCGAATCGAATCGAAACGGTCGGCATAGGGACAGGCTAAGGACACGAGGTCCTTCGCAGCGAGCGGCCGCGCACGTACAAAAGGCAGCGCTGCCGATTTACTGGATTTACTGGAAGTGTGCGTCCATAATGTCCAGCTGAGAGCGGCGCGTTCTCGCGACATTTTGGTTGGTCTTGCCTCGTGGTTCTGAATCTGATTCCCTTTTTCCCCTCCCGAGATTTCCGTCTCCACCAGCACGAGGGTCCTCCTCTTACTCCTCCTTCGGAAGCCTGGAAAAATCCCCGCACTTTGCCCCCGTCCCCCTGGCAAAATGTGGCCTCGTTTTTAAGGTTGTTTTGGTGGGCCGCAATTTTTTGGCCTGTCAGGCACTTGATTTGAGTTCCACTGCAAGAAATATTAGCTAAAAATATAAAACTAATATAGAAAATTTGAAAAAAAGTTAAATAAATTATTTATATATTTTAGAAGCATTTTAAACGCAAACAAATATTACAAACTGGTGATCTTCAGCTACATTATTTAGGTTTTAAATTTATAAAAAATACTATGAAAAATATATCATCCTAATGATTTACGTGCATTCGTATTTAGTAACATTATAATTATTATTATTTTTAAATGTTCCTAAAATAGTTAAATATCGTAAAGTGAGATTCCCAGTATGACACTTCCGGATCAGATTAAATCCGATCAGCTAGCTAAACCTGATCCAATCAAGGATCGCAGATCGAGGATACAACTGCAGGCAGCGAAAATGGAAATGAAAATGAAAATGGTTTGGAAATCGAAGAGGATTGCGCCACACGAACTGAGAGGCGCACAAATATTTACATGACTAATCGCCAGATAATCGCCCCGATCAGCATTAGGATTAAGTCGATCCACACGGAGATCGTTGGCAGTGAAATTTTAGATAGTGTTTTGGGTTCCGAAAGGACCTGACAATGGGTGTTAGTTGGATAGATCGCAGATCGGAGATCAGTTGATCAAGTTCCGAGTTCGGGGATCATTTGGGCGGAATCGAAGGAAAACATTGGTTCGGGATCAGTGTGTCGTAATATGATCAGCCAGGGATTTATGATTATGTTGAATGAGCACTAATTTCTGGGACATTAGCTAACAATGGAGAACGTATATAAATTCATTTAGAAATTAAATAAATAAATTCCTTTTTTTTTAAATTAGTGTAAAAATAAATATTAATCAAAGTTAATAACTAATAGATTTTTAAGCCTGAAAGACTACAATGAAAACTGTAGCATTTATATATAAGAAATAACCAGTGTTTAGATAGTATATATTTTCTTAAGTAGGTTTTTTTTTGGTCATATATTTAAAGAAATACTTGCAATCCTTTGTTAAGAATTTTAAACATATTAAGTTAGGTGTAAGAAATATATAATCAATGTTGTTGTTATGAAATAATTCTCCGGATCTTTATATAATATCTTAATTTGGTGTTTATATGTATAATCCTGACTCCAATAATATTGACATATCATTTATTATAGTAAAATTATTATTTATATCCCCTGATCCTGAAATCATTCTCACGATCACCATTTCTTTTCTGGATATCCAATAATTTTCGGGGACTTTAATAGTATTCTGTTACTTTCTTTCAAATGATCAACATTTATCGATCCCCCTTGTATTGTGATAATATTTATGATAATTTCGCCCCGCGATTCCTCCTCCGCTTCCGCTTTCCACTTTCCACCGGCTAATTGAGTCCTCATGTCCTGTCGGCAGGACGCCCCTGGCATCGTAGGATACTACGCCACCCCCCCTCCGCCGAGCCATGGGTGCCTCTGTACCTGTAGCCCCTCCCCACCCCCATCGAGGACGCCCCGTCGGCAGGAGGGCCGGCAAAACACGCGCGCCGCTGGAAGTGGAAAATGGGAAATGGGAAACTGTTGCACGGCCGTTTTCTTTTGGCGTGCGTGGCGCGGCGAAAAGCAAGAAAAAGGAAAACGCACACATTTTCCAGACCGCCCGTGGGGAAAAGCGAGAGAGGGCGACCGAGCGAGAGAGCGGAAAAGACTCGGTGTATTTCTTTTTTGAGTTTTCCTTCGCTGCAATTTCCAGGCCATCGCTCTCTCTCGCTCTCGCCCGTGCGATTTTCCTTTTTTCCGCTTTTATTATTTTTTTTCCTTCTTTTTTTCCTCCTTTTTGGCCACAAGTAACAAGCGACTTCTCTCTCACAAACACACTCACACACTCTCACCGCAATGGAAAAATGGGAAATTTTTTGCTGTGGTTGTTGTTGCGGCGGCAATGGTGGTTGCTCCGATATACCGATATACATATATATATATATATACATATACCTGCCCCGGCACCCTTAAAATCGCGCCTGTGTGTGCGTAGGTAGCCCAACCACCATGCGATGGTGTGGTATGCCGTCTACCGTATACCCAATCCATTCCACACCATACCGCCCCAGGATAATGGGCTGGAAAGAGAGGGAGAGCGAGAGAGCGTGCAGGTGCGAAAGGGATGGCGAAGAGAAAGACGCCGACAGAGACGTCGACCGAGGCGGCCGAGCAGCGCATTCCACTTTAAATACTGCCAACGATCGCAGCAGAGAATCAGTTCACTCAGCGACTTTAGCGTGTCGAGAACGCACATAGCAATCGAAAAACCGTATATCGAAAATTCGAGTTCGAAAATTTGAAAAAAGCATTCGACATCGAAAATCGCGAAATCAATTTTTTCTAAGTGATTACCAGAAAAACAAAAAAAAACAGAGAAAAAAGTGAAGTGAAAAATACACAGAGAAAAACCAAAGGATTACTCTCTCTTTCGGATACGAAACATGCATCTGCCAGCGGGTCCAACGATGGTGGCCAATAACACACAGGTCCTGGCAGCCGCCGCCGCCGCTGCCGCCGCCGCAGCCGCCGTGGCCCAAGCACAGGTGCCCCAAAGTGGCAGCAGCTCGGGATCCCAGAACAACCTGGCCAACACCAGCACCCATTCGGCCAGCAGCACGGGCAGCTCGACGCCCGATCTCAGCACGAACAACAATAACACTAGCACCAGTAGCAGCAATCCCCCGAACTCCGCCAAGATGCCCTCCTCGATGACCGACATGTTCGCCTCGCTGCACGAAATGCTCCAGGAATACCACGGCGAACTGGCCCAGACGGGCTCCCCCTCGATCCTGTGCAGCGCCCTGCCCAATCACTGGCGATCGAACAAATCCCTGCCCGGCGCCTTCAAGGTGATCGCCTTGGACGATGTCCCCGATGGCACTTTGGTCTCGATCAAGTGCGGCAACGATGAGAACTACTGCGGGGAGCTGAGGAACTGCACCACCACGATGAAGAACCAGGTGGCCAAGTTCAACGATCTGCGCTTCGTGGGAAGGAGCGGTCGCGGAAAGTCCTTCACGCTGACCATCACCATCGCCACATATCCGGTGCAGATCGCCAGCTACAGCAAGGCCATCAAGGTGACCGTCGACGGGCCGCGGGAGCCAAGAAGTAAGCAAAGTGAGTTTTTTAGTTTCCATTATGTTTTCAGTTCGAACCCAAACCCAAACCCGAAACCTAGAATCCAAAATTTATTTCAAAATATTTTCATAGTTTAAAAAACTGCTCAAAATGATCTTGAAATATCATATTGATATTTTTACAAAAAACCTTCTAAAACTGATCTTAAAGTTTGATATCACATCACTAAAATTTCCTTTAAAAATATCTAATATCATTTTGACAGGCAAACTGCACAAAATGATCTTAAACTCCAAATATCTTCTCAAAATGATCTTAAAATATCATATACCTATTCCAACCTATCCCTCCCCCCAAAACCCTTTTACAAAAAACTTACAGTAAATACCGAATTGTGCTTTACTAATTTCCTGCTTTATTTTATCCTTCCAGGCTATGGCTATCCCCATCCCGGCGCCTTCAACCCCTTCATGCTGAACCCCGCCTGGTTGGACGCGGCGTACATGACCTACGGCTATGCGGACTACTTCCGCCACCAGGCGGCGGCCCAGGCTCAGGCCCAGGTTCATCATCCTGCCCTGGCCAAGTCCTCAGCCTCCTCGGTGTCCCCGAATCCTTCGAATCCCTCGGTGGTGGTGCCCACCAGCAGCTCCTCCTCCTCCGCGGCGGCAGTTCAGTCCGCGGACTATCCACATCCCGGAGCGCCGGCAGTGGGTCAACCGGGCGCCATGATGCCCTCGCCACCGGGACCGGGTGCCCTGCCCCATGCGATGCCCCAGTTCCCGTTCAACCATGTGGCAGCCGCCGCTGCCGCGAAGGCGGTGGGCGGCACCCCGCACGCCTTCCATCCGTACAACTTTGCCAGCGCAGCCGTCGGCTTGAGGGCGCGAAATGCGGCACTGCATCACCAGCAGCAGCAGCACCTCCAGCAGGACGGCGCCCCCATTGTCCACGTCAGTCCCGCCTCCTCGCGGCCCTCGAGCTCCTCGCCGCAGCAGCAGCAGCAGCACGTCCTCCTCAAGCTGAACACCTCCATTGAGACCAGCTCGATACACGAGCAGTCCGCCAGCGACGGCGACTCGGATGACGAGCAGATCGATGTGGTCAAGTCCGAGTTCGATTTGGACAAGAGCCTGGATGTGACGCCGCTGAGAATGCGCTGCGACTTGAAGGCGCCCTCGGCGCTGAAGCCCCTGTATCACGAAACCAGCTCGGGACTCCAATCCTCGCCGGAGACCACGACCAAAATCAAGAGCGCCGCCGTCCAGCAGAAGACCGTGTGGCGGCCCTATTAAAACCAGGGTTCGATCTCAAGGTTTTTGGGAGCAGGAGAAAAAATTATACAAAGTGATAAAACAGCGGCGGCGCAGAGCGGCAAGCGGGCAAAAAATTATAATTGTGATATAGTGTTATAAGTTGATGAGGAAGATGAAGACGCCTCCGGCCGGCAAACGGAGCAGCAAAAAAAAAAATCAGACCAGGACTCGAACTCGAACCCAACCCTGGAAACTCAGACTCCGGCGAAGTTTTATGCTCGGTTAACATAAAATCGTGCGACGAGTTTCGAGTTTCGACAGGCCCTCGTTTTTCACCAGGATTTTCTACAAATCCCAGCGGAAAAAAGAAAAATCCCAACTCAATCCAAAAACCCTAAAAAACTTTAGTTAAATTTAATTTCACACACATTTTGTACATAGCTAAAAACTAGTTGTAACACTCATTACTATTTTTTTTTGAAGAAACTCCTTTTTTTTCGATGGATAATATGCGAATTTAGCTATTTTTAATCTTTATGTTTAAACTAGTCGTCTAAGTGAGAAATCAATTTTTTTGTCTAGCCCGTAAGTTTTAGCGCGAAAAGAAAAATCTAACACAAAAAATCGAATTTGAAACAAAACCAAATAAAAAACAAAAATCACACACGAAAAGTATTTACAAAAAAATATACACTATTTGTTTTCATTTCTCCAAAATGGTTTTCAGCAATATTTTCTTTCAGGAAGAAATCATAAGAAAAAATAATTTTCTATAATTTTTGTATACTAAAGAAATGGCAGCAAATTACTTGGATTTCCCCCTTCTTATCACAGTAGGCTTGCAGACATCAAAACAAAAATTGAATGATAATAAAAAATGCTGGCAAGAATTACCCATAAATTGAGAAATTCCGAAATTGAATTATCAGGCCAAAAGTGATGGGAAAACCAACCGCGAATTAATATTTTCACTTGAACTTATCTCGCGAGTATTATTATCGATAACAACTATTCGCGGTTGTCAGCTTTGTCAGCTGGGGGGAAAAATCCAAGTGTCTAGTACTTTCAATTTTCTTATCAATCAAAACAATGATTGAGACTGCCGCCGGAAGAGAGAGAAAACGATAAGAAATATATAAATGGTATATTAATTTATGAATTTTGACTTAAGCCGTTTTAAAATATCAAAATTATTTCATGTTATTATTATAATTGTTTTTTCCTATAACAATTTGACCAAAAACATTAAGAGATATCTTCAATTAAATTTTAAAAATATTTTCTAATATTAATTTGATATAAAAAAGGGCTACAAAATTCTCAATATTATTTTTTCAATTTTATATTTTTTATTTCGTTCATAGATATCTTCAATGGAAGTTATATAATTTTTTCTAATATTCTTTTGATATTAAAATATTGTTAAACAAATTCTCTATATTATTTCTTAAATTTTATAATTTTATTTCCTTTTTTCCCCTTCGTAAAGAGACCAAAAATAGAAACATCTTCACTTTCCAAAAACCCAGAAAACATTTCAGCGCACAGTGTGTGTGTGAGCTGTGGGTGCTCGAAAATCGAAAATCGAAGGACATCTGCTGACCGCAGGACATGGACATGGCCAAAGCCCAAATTGATGGCAATTAATGCGGATTATTGGTGATTAGGGAACCTCGTTGGATCCGCAGGAGCTCGCTTTTCGACAATTGTCGCATTAATTGGCATAACTAACTCGATTTCGTAGCCCAGGATGCGAGCAGTGTGTATATGTATATATATATAGATGCAGGACATGCAGGATGCAGGACATGCAGTTGGCCAACCGCAGTGAAATTTGTCGAGGCCATTAACCGCACAGTCGAGGAGTTATCTCCTTTTGCTGGTCAACACCTAGGTTTCGGTGGGCCCTCAAGGTCGTCCTTCGATTGGTCAAGGTCGAAGGACCTCGATTTGGTGACAGGACGATGGGGTTTCTCACTTGGCCAAATCGCCATGGGTGATCGCTGTCAGTGGGAAACTATTTTCAAGAACCAAGAAACAGGAAAACTCTTTCAGAAAAATATATAAGAAATGATATTTAAAATTATGAATTTTCCGTTCAAGTGACTTTAAAGAAACTGAAGTACAAACGAACATTTTCCCGGGGAAATTTCCCTCCCTGTCCAACTGATTTCGATTGAAGCTGCGAATTTCGAATTTTTCCGCCTGGCATTTGCTCAAAATATTTTCCCGAAAAATAGTTGCATCCGTAATGATTCCACACACACTCCGGTTTTCTTGTTTTTTTTTTGCACCACCACCACTTGCATTTTCGCATTTAATCAATGGAAAATTTACATTTTCACAATGTGTTCTACACTTTTACCCATGTTTTTTGCCAGCCTCCAGCAGAAGCTCATTGGTTTTATTTTTCATTTCTTGTTCTGTGGATGCCGCTTTTTTGTGTTAAAAAAAGAGAAGTCTGAGCTTTTGTTCGTTTATTTTTGGCATTGGCGTATTTTTTGTGCCGTGTTTGATTTTGTTTGGCATTAATGTTGTATTTTTGTTGTTGTTATATTGTTGTGTTTTTTTGTGCAGACTGCTTCTTGATATGTAACATTTGGTGGTTTTAATATTTAAATGAAGGCAAAAAATATATTTTTCAAGCTGTTGAAATTCTTGTTAGTTTTGTTGGAGCAGCTGGAAGTTTTTTCTATATTTTCTATGTGAATTTGGTACTTAATGCTGCGTTTAAAAAAATGCTGCTTAATTTGTGTGTGATTTTCAGTGGGCAAATGACGACGCACAGATGTGATACAGATACAAATGCAGAATGAGAAAAGATACAAAGATACACGAAACCGCGCCACGCGAAACGAATCGAATCGAATCGCCAGCGAAACAAAACAAAACAAACAAGATGGGGAAAATGAGCGATGGATGGGAGGGCGAGTGGGTGGTGGGGGGAAAATCGCTGAGGGGAGGGGCCAGCGAAATGAACCGAAAATATAAAAATGGCCAATGGAAAATGGTCGACCAGAAATTACAAAGAGGCACACGAGGGCCGCGGGTTTGGGGGGCAGATTTTTTCCGCCGAAAAGGAAAGGTAAATGAACTGTTCTACACCCACTACCACCCCCCAATTTATCCCCCACCAATTTCCCCCGAACAAATTACAAACGAAATGAGGCGAGTCCGTTTTGTTGTTCTTCTTTATTTTTATTTTTTTTATTTGGACCCAACGAAATGCAATTGCCTTTGAGGGAAGTAGTACCCTTTATACGGAGTATGATAAACAAAGCTCTGAAAATGCAAACAGCCATGGTCAAAATAATGGTAATCCATTAATGGTAATAATTATAGACTCAATTTAATTTTTTACAGTATTAAAAAAAAACCCTATCAAAATAATAAAGGAAAATTTAAAATCGGACCATTCAATAAAAAAAAAAGTTGTAATGCAGATAATGCATTTTCCAATAAATGGCGCTACATTCAAGCCACTGCATATTTTTTCCCGAAAATTTGCAATAAAATAAGAATTCAGGTTTAAATGCCAATCGATTGGAAATTTAATTACGAGTTCAGAAAGGTATGACAATCCATATTTGGATCAAATATTCCATTGTTATGGTTAAAAAACTAATTATTTTTCAGTGAAAAATTGGGATCTGGGTTTTTGGCAAAAATTTGAATTTTTTTTTGTGATTTTTTGCTGTAACTTGGCCAAAAATGGTCCTACACCAAAAATACAAACTGTTTTGAACAGATAACAAAATAATACCTCATAATTTTTTGCGAAAAATGGTAAAAAAATCAAATGTCCAGGTTTAAATGCCAATCGACTGGAAAGTTAATAACGAGTTCAGAAATGTATGACAATCCATATTTGAATCAATATTTCCATTTCTGCGGTCAAAAAAGGAATTATTTTTTTGCTTCATCGTTCTCACTCTCGTTCAGCTAGTATTATATCCTAATTAGGTAACCATTATTATTTTTTTTAATACAAAATCTATATTCGTCTCTATTTTTTTGAGCACATCTGTATAGGCCCTAAATAGTCGACTCTTTTTGTGTGTGTTTTCCCCACTCTTTATTTTTTTAGGCGATTTTTGCTTAATTTGGTGCTAATGAAATGCGTTGGTCAGCGCTGATTGCATGTGGCCATGGCCGTGGGTTTTAGGGGGCTCGAGTTGCCCACAAAATCCAAAGTGTCACGCGAGCAGAGTCAATTGTCTGCGAAAACTTTAAACGGGCCCTTTAAAAGGGCATTACAATTTAAATGCCAATGTTGGCAATTTGTTAGCTGTCACGGAAAATGTTTCTTCTATCCCCCCCTTAAAAAAAATTTAATAGAAAAAGCCTAAAGGCCTTGGCGGTTAACCCGCCACTCAGACTGCCTTTCCTCTGCTTTTCTAATGCGCTTAGAAGCCCAGGAAAACAACTCCAATTAGTCGCTGCTCCGACATAATCCCCAATAGCCGAGATTTCCTCAAATAAATCCAAGTCTATCGGGTTTTCTATTTTTTTGCAGGGGTGGGTATTAGGGGGGCTCCCTAACCAAACCAAAACACCGATGATCTCGGACCGAGCCACTTAATTTGCAAAATTAAAATGCTGCGCATAAAATAATTCACGCTAATTAAATGTCCTTCAAAGGAGCAAATTTTGGGGAAAGGAAAGTCGAACTTGAAATGTTCTTATATTTTGGGAGAATTATTCTTATATTTTTCTTTAAATAAATTAATATTATTTTCCCGGACTTGGAATTTGTTGAATATTTTTTAAAGTCTTCTCACAATAATTATACAATTAATATTATTCAATTAATATTACTTTTAACCTTAATAAAATAATATTTTCATTATCTAATTATTTTTTTAAATTTACTTAGGCACTTTATTTAAATATCTATCAAGCTTGCTAAGTTTTTAAACCTCGATAAACACTTGGAGATACCCAAAACAAAAAAAGGGCAATAAAATAATTGAGGAACTGGGAGGCTATTGAATCCTTTCGACAACATTTTTCCCGAGTCTTTTGTTCATTGTCAGGCGCTTGAGTATTTTTTGATTGACAGACGGATGAAAGGGTTCTTTTGATTTGGGGAATGGGGATGAAAATGGGGCAGAGGATCCGAATATCCGCTGTCCTTGTTGACGCTTAACCGCATTTAATTTTATTGAATTTATTAAGTGATTAAAAAGTTGTCAATATCAACGAGTCAGAGTTCTCTTTTGTTAGCCACATTGTCACAACAAATGGCACCGCGTCCGCTTCACTGTCCGCTTTAATCCTTGCTGTGGTTGCACGGCAAAAACAAGGACACCTCGCGGCAATAACGACTGCAACAACAACAACAACAGCAACAACAAATAAAAAAGAGGAAAAAAGTATTGCAAAAAGTGTCCACTTTATGGACAATTGTGTAGAGATCGGTTTTTCAATATTTTTCAGCTTTTTGCCAGAGCAAATTTATTAATGCGCCACCGTGTGGCCTTTGTGGTCGCTGTGGATTATGCGGTCGTCTCACTTGTTGCCGAATCACCTGCCTTTTAAGCGCCACAATTATCCTGTCCCCCTGCCCCCATGGACTTCCCTTCAAAACTCCCACCAAATTTTAGCAGCTATTTGCCAAGGAAAA